GGACGGCGGTGGGTTGACCATGGCGATCTTCTCGAAATGGGGGACCAACGCACGCTCAAAACCGCCCAACGGCAACCGACGCAGAAGAAACCGAGCACATGCATGCATTTTCGAGCAATTAGCGAGGCGTGGCGCTAGGATCGTCGCTGGGGGTCGTCGTCAACCAGTAGGCAGCGACGGCGGCGACGCGGACGAGCAAGGGCGGGCGAGTCCGGCGGAAACAGAAAAGGCCAAGCACAAGCGTGGCGAGGAGGACATTGTGGCGCCGCCTACGCGAGAATACCATCATTCATCGCCGCTCCTCATTGCAGAATGGTGGTGAAGGCCGAAAATTCCCCTGTACCAAGGCGAGGCTGCGACGCGCCTAGCCAAAATTTACAGGGTGTCGTGCATCGCTACACGTGGCTCGTACGTCGCAGGCCAAATGATTAAGCCAGTGTCGTCGCTTGCCGCCGCCCCTTGCTGCTTGGGTGCGTTGTGGCGTCTGCTGTCGGCATCTGGGTTCGGCTGTCGGACGACGATGGCGTCACCAGTTGTTGGCTCTGCGTCGGGCTGCATGGAAGGCGTCGAACGCACTTCGACCGACTTGATGCGCGCTGGCAGCGCTGGCTCGAGGCTGGATATGTCCTCAATGGGTGCGATCTCACTGATGTCTTGCATGACACACTCTGTGACCAACGCTACGAAGACGCACCTTGCCACTACTGTACCGGGCCCCTCCCACTCGTGTGACCGCACACTCCCACTGCGCAAGCGGGAGGAAGACGCCATCCTCGTCCATGGCATCGCGCCACGTCTCGTCCGCAAAGCTGCTGGACGCACTGCTGGACCCGTCAGCGCTCTCGTCGCTGCTCGAAGCCTCGTCGTCTTGACTGTTCTCTTCCTGCTGTAGCTTCTCGAGGGCCCGACGGGCCACAGGGTCGACCCAGACGCCGTTGGTCAAGCAAGCGTCACACACACGCTGGAGACCAAGAAGCCCGTACACCTCCCGGCGGGTCGCGGCGCACTCTGCGCATACGACGTTGCCACAGCCCTAAATGGACGTTGGCATGGCTGCTACACGCACCTAGTACCACGTACGCGGCAATGGTGGCGGCGCACAAAGAAGCCAAATGCCGTCGCACACCGTGCGCACGCGTGCACGTCCTCGTCGCGGACCCACTCGACAGCATACGCCTCGCCCGGCTAATCCATCGATCGTATGTAGTACATGCATCTCAGGAAGCGATCGGCAGCCTATCCATGTCGAGTCATTACCTTGACGTCTCCGGCGCCCAACGTTGGACGACGCATGCGATCTCGTGGTCGTCGTTGAAAGTTGAAACGCTTCAGTACACCGTACGCTCCGCCACGCGCTGTACCGTACGCAGGATGGACCGCAAGACGATACACGTCCGAGGAAGCCGCGTTGTATCGTTACATCTACGGGTATCTTGCACGCGTCGCCGCAGTATCCGATCGGGCGACGCGGCACAGTGGCGTCGCGGCGCAGGAAGCGGCGACTTCTTGGAGGCAGAGAGGTCCGGGTCCCGCCCGCTGGCCCGCCCGTGCTGGCGTGTTCCGCCTAGGACGCCGTCGCTCCTCCCCTGCTTCAATCCCACACGCCGCGTGACACCGCCGCGTACACGGCAACGTCCCAGGAAGGCGGCCGTTACCGCTGGCGTCGGGCAGCAAGAAGATCGCGATGGCCAAGTGACTTGCCCGCGGCTGCGACGGCCTGTGGCGCGAGGGGCCGAGACGAGACAGCGGTATACAAAAGAATCCAATACAAACCTCAAGTGGAAAAGTGTGATTTAAAAAGAAAGGCACGATACACGGCCACTCGTGTTCGGGGGGAAATCGACTTGCGGTTTGTATACGCGGGCCTAATGGCCACTCAGCGTGAAGCGCTTGCGTGACACGGTGGCATATGCTACTCTTGGGTTTTGTATGCCATCGCGGACGTTTCACTTTGCATTTGGCCGCACGCCTTAAGTGTTGCAATAAGAACGTGATGGACGAGCACGACGGGAAGCCGAAGCGGAAGGCGTCGGCCAAGGCCAAGGCGCCGGCGCCGAAGAGAGCCAAGATAAAGAACCCGCTGCCGGTCCAGGTCTCGGAGAGCCCGCCGCTGCCGATTGACACCGACCTCTCGGGCCAAAAGTGCTCGTACCACGAGTGCGCGAACCGCGCCAAGGTCGTCCAGAGCTTTGGCATTTTCTGCAATCGCCACGCAGTCGTGTTTCCGTGCGGCTTTCCCGGCTGCCGTGAGAAGGCGCCGACCAACGGCACGCGCTGCGCCAAGCACGAGCACCACAAGCTCGGCCTCGACGAAGCGCTCTCGGCGCGCTCGCAGAGCATTCCGGTATGCCGCACGACCGGCTGCTTTAAGAACGACCAAGGACGAGGCTACTGCCGCGGGCACGAGAAACTCATGATGGCGACGGGCCAGCTCCCGCACGCGATCAATAAGCGCCGCCTCAACAGTGCGTACACCATGTGCTGCTACCCACACTGCAACAAGCACTCGCAGCGCAACCACTTGTGCCGCATCCACGGCAACGAGCTCATCAAGCAAGCCCAAGCCTTTGCGCAGCAATCGACAACCGAGTCGTTCGACGCCGTCTTGCAGCGTCTCCAGCGCGAGCTGCGCCGCTGCACACACCCCGGCTGCGAAAAGAACGCGCAGCGCGACCGCCTCTGCACAACACACTTCCACATGAAGGACACGGCCGAGAAAGGGCTGCCCAAGACCGACTTGGACAACTTGACGGCCAAGGACAAGGTGCTCAAGTTTTGCTCGGACGACAAGTGCACGCAGCCCGTGTACTGCAATTGGCTCTGCAAGCAGCACTACGAACAGAAAGAGAAGAAGGGCAAGCACGCCCACAACAACAGCAACAGTAGCAATGCGCAGCAGAAACAACCCGCGCCCAAGAAGAAGCCGACGCCGGCCAAGAAGCCCGCGCTGAACGACGACCTTTTCACGCTCACACCGCCGCTGACGGCCCAAGCCGCGTCGATGGTCGAGCTCTTGTACCCACCCAACAGCACGGCCGCCAACCCGAGCCATACTGCGAGCCACAACAACAACAACAACAACAACCACAGCAACCACAGTGGTGCGAGTGGGATGAAGGACACGCCCGTCGAGATGGCACAGCTGCACTTGGACGAGCCGACGTCGTATGGCCACAAGAAGGACATCGAGTACCGGCACGACGCGCACAAGCCACCCACGCACAGCACGTCCATGAGCTTCCAACAGCACAACTCGTTTGCGCGACCCACGTACGCGCCGCGCTACGCCATGGGCTACGACTACCTGCCTGGTCCGCACGCCACCAACGAGAACCAGAGTTTCAACGTCCAAGAGTACGGCCGGCACTACCCGACGCTGCTGCCACCCTCGACGCGCCTCTGCGCGAGCGCGGGCTGCAACCGCGACGTCACGTCGAGCGGCAAGAGCATGTGTGACGTCTGCCTCAGCGTGCTGACGCAAGTGCATGCGTTCTCGCCGACGATCCATCCGTTCGGGACGCACACGCCGTCGTACGAGCCGAGCAGCCACAAGCCGAGCTCGACGAGCTACGCGTCGTGGCCGCAAACCCCCTACTTTTACGCCGCCATGGACAGCAACAAGAACAACGACTACTACACCAAGCCCAAGGCGGCGTGTCGCTTCCGCGGCTGCCAGCACACCACCAAGCTCGACGCCGCCGTCTGCGCCGAACACGCGCAGGCGACATTTTGTACGGCGGCCGCGTGCGAAGAGGTGCTATCGTCACCGGGTCTCTGCGGGCTCCACGCCATGGACAACCAGTGCTGCTACGAAAACTGCGCGCAGAGCCGCCTCTCGCAGGTCGCGTGCGTTGAGCACGAAATGGCCGCGCAGTGCACGCACCACCAGTGCGCCAAGTTTGCGGCCAAAGGCCACAGCGTCTGCTCGATGCACCTCAAGAGCGTCGTCGGCAGCTGCAAGCTCTGCCTCCTCTACGACGTTCCGTGCGCATTGGCGACCGGCAACGAGAACGTCGCGATGCTGCACCACAACCACGCTTCTCTGCACAGCAACCCGCACGCGTCCGGTCACAAACTGTCTTTCTAGTCGTGTTTTCCATGAAGAATAATCTCGAGCCGTTTTGATGTTTTTCGTCCCGACAGGTCGTTTGGACTAGGATCGTCCATATTGCCGTTTGGTGGTCGCGTCATCAGGATAATTAGGTCTTAGTTATCTTAGCGCAGCACCGAGTGCCCAAAGAGGAACCGAGCAATGTGCAAGTACGTTGGCTTAAAGTGCGTCGACGGACTCGACATGATGCATGCCATCGAGAGGCAAAACACGAGCACCTACACGATACATGGATACCTTGATACGTTGATACGATTGGACGCAATCATGTACCTCGGCGTGCTTGATGCGCAGGGCGCGCACGAATGGCTTGTGCTTGAGGACGGTCCAGAGGATCTCGAGACCCCGTGCGGCGCAATAGAGCATGAGCTCGATCCGGCGCTTCGGGTCCTCGAAGAAAAGGCTCAGGCCCGAGAGACTGCCGGCGATGAGCCCCGTGACGCCATAGTCGCGGTGGCAAAGATTGCGCGGAATGCAGATCGCGAGCTTGACGACGCTTTGATACGACGAGAGGAACGCCGACGAACGCAACGTGGCATAGGCCACGTGCAAGACGGATGCGATTGGCGCGGTCTGAAGCTTCTGGGAGCGGAAAAGCACGAACGGGATCGCGTGCACGGGGAGGTAGACCTTGGCTGCGCGCACCATACCGCCCGAGACCAAGTCTTTGACAGAATGCGTGAGACACGACTCCCTATCAACTCGTTCAGCGTCCGATATCGTCAAATTGGCAACATGTACAAGTGAAAGTGAGGCTGGCACGGCCGGAACGGGATGAGCGCGCCCGTCGTCGCGTCTGTATCGCTGCGCCAGCGCTGGCGGATGGCGTAGTCGACGCCGCCGTGCGTCATGTTGCCGAGCTGCAGAATCCAGTGATAGTACCCCTAGCATCATCGTCGGTTCGTCGCTGCATATCGGGAAGAAGATCGCATTGAATACCTTGGGCAGCAGCTCGGGCTGGAAGAGCGCGCCGTAGACTATCGGTGCGTTGCACAAGCCAAAGAGGATCTCGGTCATGTACTTGATTGGCACATGACACGTGTCTTGAAGAAACTTCTTTGGCTGCTCGGCGTGCCGGAGCACAATGTCGAGCATGCGGATAAAGATGTAGAGCGAGATGACCGGGCGGCGCGACGGCGCGTCCACAAGGAGGCTCAGCCCGCAGACAGCGCCCGCGATCGCCTTGTTGATGCGGTCGTCGTGGTGCACGCCGCGCACGCGGTTGGCGACCACCTCGGCGGCGCGGTACGAGCCGACCATCGTGCCGACGAAGAGCCCAAACCGGATCGAGTCGGCTTTCGAAAGCAGTCGCAGCGCGTCCGCGTACGATGCCGTGTTCATGCCCCACTTGCGCGACGCGAGGAGGAGCGCAGTCGCTGCTTTGGCGCCGTACGCATACAGGAACGCACGCAGCGCTGCCTTGACCGCGCGCTTGAGCTGCGCAACCTCAGACTTTTCGACTCGAGGCGCTCGAGCCGCGCCTTGGCCTCGCGCTCCTTGGCGTCCTTGCGCTCGAGCAGGTGGTTGTGCTTCTCGAGCACGGCCGGCGTCAGCGTCAGCGGCTCGGAGGATGGCAGCTCGAAGAAGCTCGAGTGGTTGCGCAGGATCGTCGTCCGGGCGCTGGGCTCGCCGAACACGGCCGAGTACACGCGCTCCATCGTGCTGCGTCTTGTTTGCGAAGCGAGCTTTGACAAAGACAGGAAGATTCCGCGTATCCGGACTACATCCGGATACGATCGGCAAACGACAAATCGATGGCCGGTCGTCATGCGTCATGCGACGCATGATGATGATGATGTGCATGGCAACATCATTGGGCTTCCTCGTGCTACTCGCCGTTGCTTAAGGAAGGCAATGCGAATGGGCATGTGCCAGGTAGGTCAACGGCTCACCCCTGAGGTCAATGCGAACCAAGCTAAGATCTGAGACGCGTCCACGCCAACTTCAGATCTGAGAGGCTCCATTGATGGCGCAAGGTGACCGATGCACGCTGCATGCAGGCGAGACACGACCAGAAGAGCACGTGTGGACAGACGTAGATTAAATATAAGGTTCGTACGAGGACACGCATGTACATTAGAGGGTCGTGTCCCAGCCCGACCACGCGGCAGGGGCGGGCTTGGCCGCGGGCTTGACAGGATCGACGCTCGAGTGGAGACCCGTCAAGTCGATTTCTTCGTCGTCTTCGTCGTCGCCGTTGCTCGAGCTCACACTCGTGCGCGACGCTGAGTGCTGCTGGGCCGGTCCCTCGGACGTCTCCGGGGCTACATCGTCCGGGAGGAACTGTTTCATGGGCATCGGGTCGTCCTTGTCGGCCAAGAAGCTGTCAAAGTACACATCGTTGCCCGCGGGGCGGCGCAGGACGGGCTCGGACGAGAGGCGGTTGAGTGTGCTCGCGCTCGACGACGAGACGTCGTACCGGAACTCCGGTTGGGGTGCTGGGGGTGGTTGCGGGCGGGCCATGGATGACTCGCGCGACGAGAAGCGCTCCTCCATTTCTTCGTTGGGCACCGAGAAGCGGCCAATGGACGTGGCCTTGAAGCCCGGCTCGGACCGGATCGCGGCGGGTTGCGGCGCCGTGTTCATGACGGGCGGCGGCCCCGAGACCGACCGGCGCATGCTGTGGAAGCCGCGCGGGTTCACGGACGCAATGTCGCTGCGCGTCGACGTCGGCGTCGTCATCGTGTTTTCGCGCACAAACACCGAGTCGCGCGGGACTTGGTTCTCCGGGAGGACGGTCGCGTTCTGGAGAAGGAAGCGCAGCACGAGCGTGACGACTTGGCCGCCGCACGTCGGGCACTTGGGCGACGGGTTGAAGACCTTTCCGACGACGAGCGACACAAAGTTGCGGAAGGCTTGCATGCGGTAGTTGACGACGACCTTGGACTTGGACGAAAAGTAGTGCTTCTTGGGAAACTCAAAGTCGGCGACGACCTTGGCAATGTTTTCGCAGCGTGGGCACGTCGGCAGCGTGTCAAAAAGGTCGAGGAGGCTCTCTTTAAACTCGAGAAAGTCCGTGTAGCGGCGCTTCGACTCCTTGATGACCGACGTAGCACCTCGCCGGACGAGGATGCGGTAGTAGGTCACATTGTCGATCGGGCTCGCGTTGAGGATCCACGTCTTGATGTTCATGTCGTCAAGGCCCATGGTGGTCTGCGACGAGAAGCGCGGAGAGCCCATCATGGAGCTGCGCGAGTTGGTCTTCAGGAGGCGCTGGCTGCTGCTCATGCTCATGGACGTCGTCATGATGGCGTCCGTTCGAGTGGGCACGGATATAATTGAAGAATGCCACTGGACGTTTGCAATAAAATATATATTCAATATTAATATTGTATTATAATTCAAAAGCAAACCAGATTCCCAGGCAAGTGTCGTGCGAGAGAAAAAAGTACGGACCCCACCGTGTTCCAGAGCGTGAGGTAATATTATTACTCCGGGCGCACGCCATGGGCTATGCCACCGTGGAACGGACAGGGTCTTCCCTCGTCGCGACATGCTCATGCCACCTTGCATCCCTCGACAACACACTGCTCAAAGCTCCAATCTCGAGGCATTTCATATTCAATATTCTCGAGCGCGCTCTGCGGGAGATGCCGCGGTCCAGGAATATTTGTCGGCAGTGATCGGCAGGCATGATGTGATAGCGTACACCGTACATTATGTACGTGTATATTGTATCTTTGTATGAATGTACAGTACGTACGGTACGTACAGGTTGAAGCACGGCACTTTCGCACCGTGCGTCAAATTTGCAGACGCAGCTTTTCTTGGCCGGTCGCCGCGAATCTGGCAGCCTTGCCACGCCTTTGGCACCGAGACACGTGGTGCGAAGATGGCGAGCGTGGTCATGGGACGGCGCCCATGGTCCGTCATGGCGACGACAGGCCATGGACGACGGGCGCTGTCGCGACGACGTCGCGCGAGGTGAGTCACGCACGACTCACGGGATAGCCAGCACCGAACGTGCGTCTGATAGTAGGTGATCGAATGGTTGGCGGCCGCGCGATCACCGTTGCAATTTAAACAAGCACGCATGCATTACGAGAAGCGTAGTTACACGAGTGCGATGCCAGACTACACGGCAGCCACTTGGCGATGGCGCACCATGGATGCGGACGACGGCGAGAGGGTCATCCCGTCGGTCGCCGTGATGGGTGGGGTGTACATGGGCACGCTTAGGTTCGAGAGCGGTACGCGTTGGACCTGAACGACCTTGACGATCGTACGACCTCGGTAGCACTCGATCTTGCTCGCGGACCGACAATACTCGTGAAAGAAGCGGCGCGGCTCGAGCGAGTTAGCGATCGAGTCGAGCGTCGCGCCGGCTGTTAGCGGGGTTGCTCCATCGAGCAAGAAGGCTTTTGTGATCTCGAATGCCTTTCCGCCGCAAATCTGGCATTTGGGGGTGGATGTGAAGGTGTGCGTCATAATGCAGGCGAGGAAGCGAGCGAGCTGGAGCGAGCGCTCGTAGACGACCTTGTCCGAGTGCTTGAAGACCTTCTTGCCCGGAAACGGAAAGCGCTCGATGATCCGGCCAAAGCTCACGCAGCCCGGGCACCGATAGCGCGTAAAGCGCACGCAGCTAAAGAGGCGCTCGCGCAGCGTCGCAAAGGCCGAGTAGCTCTGCGCCACAGACCATTGCGTCTGCGTGCCCAGGTGCAGCGCGTGTATGACGTACTTGGTCTTGCCACTGGCGCGCAGGTGGTCGACGATGTAGAGCTGCACCATCGAGACGTCGGACGGGCGCATGACGTGCGAGGCAAGGACCATGAGCGCCGACGCAGGTGACGGCGCTCCGTCGTCGTCAGCATGCACAGCCTCGCTCCTGAGCAGCGGCGCTTGGTCGACGACGTCCTGGCGGGGGCTCATGGCGGCAGCCTATTTCCGACTGCGGACGGCGATCTTGTATTTTGTGGATTTGGATATCTATTTTTAGATACAATTGTACCATGGCGTTCGCGCATCTTCCGGATACACTATCCGGCGACTCGGGAACGTGGCGCGACTTCAACATGGCGGCTTTCTGCGCAACGTCGTTGGCGTTGGCATTTGGGATGAAGGTCGACCTACACTGCATGCAGAAGCTTAGACGACGGTTGGACTAGGCTAGTGTCTGGTGAAACGCAACACATTGGTGGATCGAGAACCGTCATCGTCGTATTCTTTTACAAGGCCGACGCTCCCACGGCACCATCCAAGGAGGAGACGGTCGGCATCGGATGGGTCGGCGGTGCTGCGATTATCGCCTCGGCGGCTAAATCGCTTTCACTGGCCGCCCGATTCCGTTGATGGTAGTGCATGGTGCACAACTGGTTGTAGCGCGCGTTCTTCTCACAACCCACCGATTGGCACCGTCGCAGCTTCTTCTGGAGCACGTCGAGGATCTCTTCGTACGTCTGGTTGGTCAGCCCTTTGTCGACGACCGACTTGGCTTGGAGCACGAGCTCTTTTCCATGCTTGCAACAAAACCGGTTGCGCTGCGCATGCTTTGTGCACTCGGGGAAGCAACACATGGTGAATGCAATGTCGACTTCGCGGATCTTGATAGCGAGCTGGCCCGTCGCGATGAGCAGCTTCTCATGCGCTGTGCAGTAGCCGCGGCCTTGGCGCACCTTGTAGCAGCCGTCGGTTCGGCACGTACGCGCCGTTTGGGACCGCGCGGCGAGCTCGCGCCGCATCGACTGCGCTTGATCAGCGTGCTTGCAACACATGGAGGACCCGTCGGGGGCTTTCTCACGACAGCGCGGAAAGCCGCAAGGCACCGTCACGGCGTGCCGACTACAAAAGTGACCGTACTCTTGAAACACCTTGGCAGCATGGCGGCACTTGATGTGCTGACAGAGTATTGTCGTCGAGGCGGAGAAGGTTGTAACGGAGCTCGTCGCGGCCACGGAGGTCGGTGCCATGCCCGCGTGGTCTTCACAGTAGCCGTCATCGTTGCAGCTCTTGGGACATCCATGTACGGCGCACATGAAGATCGTGTCCAAGTTGACTTCGATCACGAGCTCTTTGAGCCGCTCGTCAAAGAGCGACGACGACGACGAGGGCGGCTCAGGCTTCCACGCTACGTCCATGACGTCGCTATACTCGCTAAAGCCCGGCTCCATGATCGAGAATGCGTATCTTCTTCACGCGCACTGAGCTTCGACGCAGCAAAATATGTTCGATGTGCCCGCGAAAGATCGCTCGTGATTCAAATTCTCGCATCGGATTGGCCAAGGGAAGCATGGAAGATCTCTTTGTAGCGCCCTTCCAAGATGCGTAACGAGCCAATCAAACAGCTAGATTAACACCAAGATGGTGTCGGTTTCTATGAACTACGCCAACGCTGGTGTCGATGCACATCAGCACACGAGCCAGCTACGTTTGTCCACAAAATGTCATAAGAATTTATGCAGTGGATCAAGCGGCACAGAACGAGTACATCTCCACTACCTAGCTACTTGCTGTCGGTCTGCACGTTGACGACCTCTTGGCTGCCAACTTCATTTGGCACACGTGTGACGTACATTATTATGAACACACATTGCAGTAGGTAGAGTCTTTGGTCTCTACTGTTCCCATCAATCATTCATTTCATGTACTCGTCGATAGTGTGCCGTTTGCGCTATTGCTGGTGTCCTTTCCACGCCCCCTTTTTCCCAGGTAGTCGGTTCGTCAAGCCCGAATGGTCGATGATCTCACTTCGTCGTCTGTCAATGGCTTGTGCAAACTACAGTCTTTGAGTAAATATCCCCTCGCGCGATGAGTCGCACCGTTCGGAACGAGAGCGCGTTGATATAGTCGTCCGAGTGGCTCTTGCCAAAAAGCGCGGTCATTTCGTCTTCCATGTTGTTGCCGTGCTTGAGAAACCTACTTGCATCCCACAAAATCCTTCACATGCAAACGACGACGTACAGAATGTGCATCGCATCGTCCATCGACACCTCGCGTAGCAATTAGCTTCCAAGGCGATGCCATACCGTCCATACCTTGCCGTTGACGTCGCGGTCGTACATGAGGAAACACGTCAAGTAGAACAAGTCGGACGGCTCCAAGCACGACTTGTCGGCTTTGCAGCGCTCAAAGCTGCGTTCGTACTCGTTCCAGGAGATGGCACCGTTGAGACCGTCGTTGACTTCCCAAATCAGATCTTCGACTTCGGTCATTGTCTTGGGGTACCCCAGCTTTTCATAGACCTCGAAGAGCGCCGTGCGCTCAATCGAGCGTGCAAAGAGGCTCGCATCTTGTTGCGCAACCTCTATCCTCGGCGATGAGCGTTGCATCCACACAGCAATCGACCTCGGAGCTGCTGCCGCTCGCTCTGCGTCGTCGCCCACTTGGCATCGAGCCGCTTCATTTCCAACGCGTTGGCGTCCGAACCGTTGGCACGCAGCTCAGCCATCTTGGACTCGAGGCTCTACGCTAATGCCATGAACAAGGGCCGTGATGGACGACGACAAGTCCGCACGAGGAGCTTCCGCGTGAGTCGCTTCTCGGGTATTTCAATCGTGAGCGTGCGAAAGACGCGGGTGAGCTGGATGTTCTCGTCCAGCGTTCCATGCGCCGCCATGGTCGTTTCACAAAAAAGTGAGCCGATATATTTCATCGCACCGTTGACCCTAAGCGTGATACCGGTATGCTGCAAACTACTGTCCAGTGTGGATTATTGCCAACGACAAGAGGAGAAAAGACGATGTATTACAGCACTGGCGAGGAGAAGCGCACTAGTTTTCATAGTCCGTGGGCAAACCGCGCTTGAGCGCGTTGAACATGTCGGCGCCGACGCCTGTCTTGGTAAACGTCTGGAGGCCGACCTTGAACTGGTTGGCGACCTCCTCGGACGCATACGAGACGTTCTCGATGCCCGCCGAGAGCGCGGCGACCTGGATCTTGCATGCATGAACGGCGTAGTACATCCAGAAGAAAGCCTCGGCGATCGTTGCACCGCCCGTGAGGAGCCCGTGGTTGCGCAGAATGAAGAGCTTGTTGTCTGGGCCCAAATCGGCCTTGAGGCGCGGCTTCTCGCCTTCCGAGACCGCGAGGCCTTCGTAGTCGTGGTACGAGACGCCGGCGCTCATGGCAACGTGGCTCAGCTGCGAGATGGGAAGCAGACCAAACTTCATCGACGAGACCGCCGAGCCTTCGATCGTGTGGCAGTGCATGACGCACTTCATGTCGTGGCGGCACTCGTGAATGCACGAGTGGATGACGTAGCCGGCGTGGTTGATGTCCCAGCCCGTCGAGCCGCGGTTGATGTAGTTGCCCTTGATGTCGATCGTCACGAGGTTGCTCGCGCAGATCTCGTCGTACCGGAGGCCGAGCGGGTTGATGAGGAAGTGCGCGTTCTCGACGTCGGCGTCGTCCGCGCCGTTGGGCACGCGGCACGTCAAATGGCCGTAAATGACTTCGTCCCAGCCAAACTTGTGGAAGAGGCGGTACGCGGCCGCGAGCTCGCAGCGCAGCGCCCACTCTTCGTCGCTCACGGGGTGCGGGAGGTCGTTGCGGCCCATCGAATTCGGTTCTGCCTTCGACGACCGTGCCACCCAGCACCGCCTGTCGTATTGCGTCATCATCCGGATGCGACGCGAGGCCATTGGTTGAATGTACATCAGGGTGTTGGGACACGCGCCCGAAGATCGCGCCATCAACTTCAACTTGTGCGATCGTCGCGGCGAGTAAGATGGCGGCGTGTGATACCGGTATACTAGCGAGGAGAGTGGCCCGTGCGGCACCATCGCCTGGGCTTTCAAGCACAGGTGTGCGCAAGGTGGGCGTCGATGCGGCCGTGCTCGTCGGCGGCAGCAGGCCGTTACCGTGCACCCTGCTGCATAGATACTACGAGAGCGCGGGAGTTGATGCGCATGGCAACCGCGCGCGGCAGACAAGATCAAATGAACGAGATCTGCTTGGCAAAGATGGATGATGGCTCATCGAGTACTAGCGCTCCTGCTGCGCGTGTCATCCACCGACCGACATGGTGGCAAGAAGAGCCTCAACAAACACGCACGGGATGATTGCCACAGGATACACTGTCCTACTGCGTGGCGAAGGACAGTATAGACTGTAATGCAATGATAGATCTGCCTGAAAGGTCATCTAGATTCGACATCATAGTCGACTCGTGCTCGTGGCCGTACAACCCAAACGGAGTCCGAATCGCTAGCCCAGCGTCATCATCCGGGCGGAGCACAAGGTTGAGATGGTGATCATTGTAGATCACGCCACGCACAAACGCTGCTCTCCGAGGCGACCACGGGTCTGAGGTTTGTCCCAACGTCCTGGCAGCCTTCTTTCGCAAACGCCTTGAGGCTTGTGACCGGCGACGCACTGGATGGGGTCTCACTGCGGTCGTGGGGATGCACGGACGAGACGGCAAGCGCAATCATCCGCCTAACCCAATGCCAAAATGACCACCAGTACTTGGTGCCTGGCTGCATCGAGTGTACAGGCATTCGCCATGCCGAGACGTGGGTTACTCCTAACCCGCCAACGCAACCCGACGGCAAGCAGAGACCATGGCAACGGTTGTGCGGGACCGAAATGTGGCGTTCAAAGGGCTTGGTTACTACTGCTCGCATCAAAGACGACGTCAGGTGACTTTTCAAAGCCAGGTCGCGTATTGAACTCGTCCCATGTGGCGAGGAACTGGGCGAGCTTGGGCATGTCCGTGTGCTGCGGGATGAAAAATGGTGCCGGTGCCATTTGTGGGCGCTGTGCGTAGTATGCTGGCGGCGGCGGACTCGCATACATGACGTGTGGCTGGTAGCTCAACGCGGCTTGTTGCCGCAAAAGTCCGTCCAATTTGCGCGTTCCATCGAGCATTTGGCGCGCTTCGAGGCGCTGCTTTGCGAGCTGGAGCTTGTCTTGGTGCAGCTGGTAGGCCGACCGGTCGAGCGCGGCCTTTTCCCGTTCAAGCGCCTCTCTCTTCTGGTCGGCGTCGGTCGTGCGTTGTTTCGTCGAGGCCACGAGCTGGTCGTACTTGATCTTGAGCTCTTCGAGCAGCACCTTCTTCTCGTCCAGCTCTCGCACGACTTGCTATCAAGCCCCTCGTGCATAGAGTAGTACGGTGGAAGGAACACAATCCTACCGAATAGTTTTTGGATTTCTCGAGTGTTGTGGCGCTGAGGTCGAGGAGCTCGCGCTTGCGACGATTGATGACGTCTTCGTCGCGCGTGAGCTCGAGGAGTCGGGTGTTGTTGGACTTGGCCAACGCTTCGACGTGGAGCTCGTCGTGGACCTAGGTCACAACACTTGTATATTGAACGCCCGTGCGGACGTACGAGCTTGAGTCGTTTCTCTTCGAGCTGCGTGCGAAGGGCCTCGAGTTTGCCACGCTCGTCGTCGAGTCGGGCATTCTGAATCGCCAGGCTTGAGAGAAGCTGCCGCCGTTGCTCGTCGATCGCGTCGCGCTCTCTGTAAATCTACGCTAAATGTATGGGACCTCTTGCGGATTTGTGTGGCGGACCTTCATGGCTTCGTCTCGGATGCGCGTATCGGCGCGCTCTTCAGCCTGGATGCGCAGCTCGTTGGCCATTGCCAAGCTCTAAACCATCGCGTTCGACTACTTCTTTTTGTCTTTGAGGGGTAGAACCTTCTCGTATCGCTCGCGCTCGCGCCGAAACGCGGCTTCGAGGTCCTTCTTCTCTTGCAGCACGGCAGCCTCAAGCTTCTCGAAGCGTTCGCGCTGGGCCTCGACGATGAGCCGGTGGTTCTCGGGCAGCGCAACCTTCTCGACGTCTCGTTCATTCAAGGTCTTTTGCAGCGTCTCCTACACCTGGTGTCAGAGGACGGGACGGGAGTGCAACGAGCAAACCTGCATGCATTGGAGCTGGATCGCACATCGCTGCTCGACGACTTGGATCGCCACCCGGTGGTCCAATAGCGCCTGCTCGTACTTTTGCTGCGTCGCCTGCCGGGCGTCAACGGCGGCTTCGAGCTTGGCGTTGCCGCTGTGCAAATCACCGAGGCAATTCTGGTACATTTCGGAGAGCTGCAATTGACGCTCTTCCAGCGTGCGTCGATCGCGCTCCGTCACCTCGAGTTTGGCGTGGAGGGCTTCGCACTCGGCCACCTAGATGGCAACCATTGTGTACTTGGTTGGTTGCGTGGTGCGCTGGTGTGTATCACCTTGGCCACGAACGACGCCTCGAGCGTCACGTACTTGAGCTCGAGGTCGGTGAGCGCATTCTTCGTTGTCTGGAGCAAGAGCTCGTGCTGGAGTCGGCGCTCGTCGGCCCGCTTCTTCTTGAGCTGGAATTTCTCCTGGCGCAGTCGCTTCTCGTCGAGGTGCCGCTGTTGGGTGAAGCGCAGCTCGTTCTTGAGCTCACTCGCCGCACGCAACGCCATGGCATGCTCGTGCTTGAGTGCCTCGTTCTCATCGAGCAGCTGCGCTTCGAGTTGCCGAATGTACTTGTTGGAGGCACTCGTGTTGGTCACGGCAGGAGGCGCCTCATCGATGCGCTCGAGGATTCTGAGCTTTCCGGGCGACTGCTGCGCGGCTTGCTGCTTGAGAAGGAGCACAGGGTCGGGCGATGCGTGCGTTGGTGACGGTGGCCGCGTCGGCACGGAGAGGTTGACGTGGTGCCGCGGGCTGCTCGCGCGGCTGTCGTTCTCGAACGACGCATCGCCGTAGGCATCCGACTTGGCGGCTTCCGACTTGGCGTCGTCGTTCTCAAAGTCATCGTCGTAGTCGTTGTCGTACTCGCTGGTCTCGCTTTTCGGCGGCGGTGGCGCTTTGACAGGCGGGGCTCTCGGTGGCGGTGCTTTCGCCTTGGCCTTGGGCGGCGACGGCGTTTCAAAGTCGTCTTCAAACTCGACGCTGTACGCATCGTCGTCGCGGTCTTGGACGCTAAAGTCGCCATCGTCGGACGCGATCTCTTCCGCCTCTTCGTCGCTGTCCATTGCGCGCTTGCAACTGCTAGCACGAAACGGCATGCAAAGACCATGCGCTCCATGCACTAGTACGTGCGAGCTACTGCGACTCGTGCTCCCAGCCCAACGCATGTACTACATGACGATTGCTCAATCGTGCTCGGTGGCTGCATACCGCCGTCGTCGCGGCCCTTCCTCCAGCCTCTCGCGATGTATCTGCAAGAACGTCGCTTCTCGCAGCTCCACGACAACAATGTCATACTGCAATGCAGGCGCGGCCATGCGCTACTTTCGGCGAAGCGCCTGCATGCCCATGCTAGGTTCCCTTTTGCTGTTTACCGGTCTGCAGTCGTCGCCGCGCCTCGGTCGTCTCGCCGCGATATCTCTGTCTAGCGGTCGTTTCACCGGATGTTAGCACGCATGGCACCTTGCCACCCATCGCATGCACGTCCTGTCTTCGACGCAGCGACCATCGGGACTGCTGCGGTGCGTACCGGCGGCCCTCGCGCGGCCGCGGCCGGCGGCGGTGTCGGCGTCGGTGCATGATTGGTGCGAGAATGGCCAATCAGCGCACGGAAGGGGTAGGTGGCCGGATAAAAGGACGGAATATCCGGATATCGTTGACTGGTGCAGAATATGCAGTGGTTGGTTGGCTTGCATCGGCTTTGGGGAAGCGGCTTTGGCGATGTGTTATTTTTACAAGGGACGAAGAACGTAGAAAGCAATATGCAGATTTTCGTCAAGACTTTGACTGGCAAGACCATCACGCTCGACGTCGAGCCCTCCGACTCGATTGACAACGTCAAGCAGAAGATCCAGGACAAGGAAGGTATCCCGCCGGATCAGCAGCGCCTCATCTTCGCCGGCAAGCAGCTCGAGGATGGCCGCACGTTGAGCGACTACAACATCCAGAAGGAGTCGACGCTCCACCTCGTCCTTCGCCTGCGTGGTGGTGGTAAGGTGCACGGTTCGCTGTCGCGTGCCGGTAAGGTCAAGAACCAGACCCCCAAGGTCGCCAAGGCCGAGGACAAGAAGAAGCAGCGTGCGGGCCGCGCCAAGAAGCGCATCCAGTACAACCGCCGCTTCGTCAACGTTGTCGCCAACGCCGGCGGCAAGAAGGTCGGCCCCAACTCGAACGCCCCGAAGAACTAAGTTATGCGACATACACTCGTCCTTTGGCACGCGCTCGAGCGGCGCGCGTTTGCTTTCTAGCCACCCAATCCTTGTAATACACCATGATTCGGTCGCGATGCGGCCGGCATGAACTCGGCCTCCGTGTTCCGTCTCTACGTGTCGTTCTGTGAAGACCGTCTTTGCGTTCCGAGCCAGAGTCCTGCATTCCTAACATCGTGCCGCCGCTGTCTGCATAGGTTGCCTCCTCGCCGCGCCCATGCTAGTGGTCGAATCGTACATCAACGCGACTGCATGTGTAAGATGAGTCCTGTCTTTGACTGGTTTGAGGTGCGGTGCATGAACGCCGGTCGTCGAGTTGGACGGCCACACGGATGATGGGTAGGAAGAGTAGATGTTAGATGCAGCGAAAACCGCTCGATGGAGCTTTGGATGATTGGCGTGATTAGACATGGTCGGCCGCATGCTCTTCGACGAGATCCAAGCAGTTTTCGACAAAGAACTCCTTGTCAAAGGCGGCGCCGCCTTCGGCGAGGAAGCTGCCGCTGTAGACGCGGAGGAGCTCGGCGTCGTTCTTGCGCGCGAGCGATTTCAGAACCTTGTAGTCGCTCTCGCTCGGGAACGCGCCTTCCTTGTTGAGCTGACTCAGCACGCGCAGGAGGTCCGACCCGTCCGTGATTGTTGTCGGGTCCACGACCACGGGCGTCGACGGCTTGTACTCTGTTCCATTCATCGATGAGTACAAGAGGCACGCAGAGGCGTACCTTCGATCTCACTCGGGTTCTCGGCGAGGGCTTGGATGAACGGCGCAATGTCTTCCTCCTTGGGCACGATCACGGCGAGGACCTGGTTCGGTCGAACGTTCTCGGCGCCGGCAGGGACGACTACAACGCAGCATTAGCCAACCTCACTAGACTTGGGTCGCGTACAGATCTTGGCGAGGTAGCCCGCGTCGTCCGTCTCCATGCCAAAGATGAGCTCGGGGGTCTCAATGTCGCAGAGCGGACCGCCCGGCCCGACCTTCTGGCCCTCCTGCTTGTACCACTTGACGAGCTTGGAGCCTTCCATGACCTGCGTGAACTCGATGTCCATGAGGCGGAACTTGATGTGGTTGGGCAGCTTGGACGCGTGGCACCACCGACGGCCAAGAAGCGACGCCATCGGCGCAGATCCACGGCGCAGGAACATCATCGCTTTCGTTCGACTTGAGGAAATGGCCCACGCGATCGGCTGCGACGACGCCATTGATTGGTGCTTTCTGCTGTACACCGGTGTACATACGTGGTCCTCCAGAAACACGCAACGGCCGACGCTATGCAGCTCCTTCGAAGCGCAATTCGAGCCGAGAGGATCATACTACAATATATAATTGCTGCCTACTCTGCGCATGCATCGAACACAGCGAAGTCCTCGAATATAACGTCCTCTTCATCGACAGAGTCCGTCGTCCCACATTGGCGTGCCTGGATGCGGAGAATGAACAGGTCGGGCAATACCGAGACACACATGGTCCATGAAGGCGACGACAAGCAGCAGCCGACACGTTGTCTCCTGAAAGCGTGAGCCTAGCGCATTGCGGAAGATGTATTACGCGGGCGTTGTGGTCTGATATTCTTTGTACACCGGGGCACAATGACGACGGTGCAGCCGAGCGTTAACCACATCGTATCCGGATGTGGAAAATAGCTCACACTAAAAACACGTTTTCACGCACCACAACTGCAGGAAGCTCGTTGCTCGATCCTCGGTGCAAGCCCGTAGGTGTTTGAGGAGCGTCGTATGTAGCCAACTCCTCGCAGAGTAGTACCGAGCGTCAGCAAATGGACTTGTCTTTGGAATGCACGCGATCGAAACGCTCAGTGATTGCATCGCCCATGAGCATGCCACGTATGCTATCCGGATACCATCCGGCCGGCCCGGCCTTGCTCCTCGTCAATTGCGTCCATGGCCCTTCGTCAGCGACGTTCTCCTTCCTCGACGACGACCGGCGAGAACGACGCCCCGCCCTCCTCTTCGCCTCCACCTCGTCCATCGCCACCGTCCTCCGCCTTCATGAAGATCGCGACGAGCGTCTTTGCGCTCATCTTCCTCGCCTCGTGCGTGCACAGCGTGCTCCCAACGACGAGAGAGGCTACCCACGCCGACGATATTACCACCAAGGACAGTATGCTCTTGGGGGACGTCGACATCGAAAGCAGATACATTCCAACCCATGGTAGCGGGTACGTGAGCTTGTCCAGCGGTCGTGTCTTGGCCGAACGCCATGGTTCCTTGGACGCTGGCACGCTGCATGTGGCCTCGGGCCAAAGCGCCTCGCCCTCCGCTTTGTCCGAGATGCTAATCTGGAACGCCGACATCACGCTCCGCGCCAAGCACGGCAGTGGCGCGTGGGACGCGGCGCGCGCGCACATCCAGTCGCAGTTGCTCATCCACGGCTTTCTCGAAAGCGAGTCCGAGTCGGCGGATCGCAACGCGTACTCGTCCTTGCGATGCGTTTCGCGTTCAACCAACGCGACCATTTCCTGCCCACAGGACATCTACCTCGAGCATCGCGATTACCAAGTGCCACTGCGGACGTGGCGCTTTACATGGCGCGTCGAGGCCTTCCACGACATGGTTCGCGCGCTCGAAGGCGTGCCAGACGTGGTTCCCAACACGACGGTCGCGTCCAAGCGCGTTGCGCGCACCGATGCGAGCAATGAGTACCAGGATGCGTCGGGGCGTAGCGCCACCTTGCGTCACACGCGTGCGGCGCTGGAGAAGCTCCTCGAGCAAGCGACGAACGTGCAAGAGATTGCGGCCATTCTCACGCAGGTCCAAGACGTCACCGCGAAGATCGAAGCCGCCGAAAGCGAGCTCCTCCGTACGTCAGCATCCGTGCGCCTCAGCACGATCGACGTTGAGCTGGAAGAACGGGACGCCGAGGGGCGCGTCGTGGTCGTCGACGACCTTGGTCGGTTCTCGTCTCTTGTTTTGAGTCGTCGCTCATTTGTGAATGGGACTGGTAGCATCGCCCAGCACGTCGCGTTGGGCGGTCGCGTATGTGCGTGCGGTCGGCATCCTCAAGCAATGCGGCAACCTCGCCATCGACGGCAGCATGCTCGCGCTCGTCGTGGGAACGCCGATGACGATCGTGCTTTGGCTCGGCTGGAAGCTCTTCACGCGCCTGCGCCACTCCGACGACCGCTACAGTCACCTTGCATAACTCACGAACTGATTAACGGACCATCAAGGCATATACAGCGACATCGTCTTCGTACGCAGCTAACTGCTAGTACATGACCAACGAATCGACGAAGAATCGAGGTGGCAAGATAACCCAGTAGCAGCGCCTCTTCGACGTCGCGGAGAAGCCAAGCGACGTGTGCCAGCTGCGGGCCCGAGCACCTTCCGAGCAATCCAACTTGTCCTTCGTCATCGAGAGCAGATATTGAAACGCGGGGATCATCAACCAAGCGGTACGTTGAACGCAGCCTCAGCAGTGTACGCGAAGGCTCAAGTGGGTGCTTCCTTCTCGCGGCTCATGTCCTTCGTCGCACCAAAGCCATGAAGATGCAGAGGACGCAACAACCTGCCTTTTCATCTCGCCGTCAACCACACGGCTCGGGCGCTTTGTACGAGGTAGTAGGTTTAGCATCCGATGACCGTTCTTGCAGGTATCGCATCTAGCCGCTGTCCGCTTCCTGCTACCAGACGGGGCGATCTGAACAAAGATCGCCACAGAAAACTGACACCTTGCCGTCCAGCCGACGCCTTCCACGAGCCAATCGGTGCACGCACGACCAGCTGGGCGCAGGTCCTTGCCCGTCGTCGTGTCAGCACATGGCGTCATTGTAGGGCCATGGGTGAACTTGAAGTTGGCCGACCAGAATCTGGATCTGGGTCTTGCAGCTCATTTTGCAACCGACTCTGCACGATGCACGCCGCCGTCTTTGCCCGCGCGGCCCGCCGCAGCTTTAGCGCCCGCCGCCGCTTTGCCCACCATGCGCCCGCTGTCCACCAGACGCAGCTGCTCATCAACGGCGAGTTCGTGCCCGCGACGTCCGGCAAGACGTTCGACACGTTCAACCCCGCGACCGAGGCCAAGATTGCGAGCGTCCACGCTGCTGGCGTCGACGACGTCGACAAGGCCGTGCACGCGGCCCGCAACGCCTTTGACAATGGCCCGTGGCGCAAGCTCTCGGGCTCGCAGCGCGCGACGCTCATGCGCAAGTTTGCCGACCTCATCGAGGCCAACGCGGACGAGCTCGCGGCGCTCGAAGCGCTCGACAACGGCAAGCCGTGCAATGTCGCCAAGGTCGTCGACATCGACCTCGCCATCAAGTGCATCCGGTACTACGCGGGCTGGGCCGACAAGATCACGGGCAAGACGATCCCGATCGACGGGCCGTTCTTCTGCTACACCAAAGACGAGCCCGTGGGGGTGTGTGCGCAGATCATTCCGTGGAACTTTCCGATCTTGATGGCGGCGTGGAAGCTCGGGCCGCTTCTCGCGACGGGCTGCACGAGCGTGCTCAAGCCCGCGGAGCAGACGCCGCTCACGGCGCTCCGCCTCGGTGAGCTCCTCGTCGAGGCCGGGTTCCCAAAGGGTGTCGTCAACATCATTCCGGGCGACGGTGCGACGACGGGCCGGTACCTCGCGCAGCACCCGCTCGTCGACAAGGTCGCGTTCACGGGCTCGACCGAGGTCGGGTTTGAGATCATGCGCCAGTCGCACCCGTCCAACCTCAAGCGCGTGACGCTCGAGCTCGGTGGCAAGTCGGCCAACATCATCATGCCCGATGCGGACTTGGACCTTGCGATCGCCGCGTCGCAGCTCGGCCTCTTCCACAACCAAGGTCTTCCGCTTCCTCTCATCGCGTACGACGATCATCGTCCTATGTAGGCCAATGCTGCATTGCGGGCAGCCGCGTCTTTGTCCACGAAGACATTTATGAGGAATTCCTTGCCAAGTCGGCGGCCGCGGCGGCCAAGAACGTCGTGGGCGACCCGTTCTGCGCCAAGACGACCCAAGGGTACGACGCCTCGCAAGTCTGCTATCTATCATTTCTGCGCGTAGGCCGCAGGTCAACGAAGAGCAGTTCCGCAAGATCCTCGCGTACATTGAGACGGGCAAGCGCGAGGGCGCGCGGCTCCTCACGGGCGGCAAGCGCCACGGCAAGAAGGGCTGGTTCATCGAGCCCACGGTCTTCGCGGACGTCGAGGACCACATGACGATCGCGAAGGAAGAGATCTTTGGGCCTGTCATGAGCATCCTCAAGTTCAAGGACGTCGACGAGGTGATTGCGCGCGCCAACGCGTCCGAGTACGGCCTCGGCGCGGGCGTCGTCACCAAGGACATTGGCAACGTCATGAAGCTCACGAATGGACTCCGCGCCGGCACGGTGTACGTCAACTGCTACGACGTCTTCGACGCGGCGGCGCCGTTTGGCGGCTTCAAGAACTCGGGTCTGGGCCGCGAGCTCGGCGAGGCGGGTCTCCGCCCGTACGTTGAAAACAAGACGGTCATCATCAAGCAGTAAGACGTTCCAATCCATGTGCTTTTGTCGTCGACTTTGTATTCATGGGGGCCGACTATGACGTGGCAGACGCTCACGGCGCGATGGGCGCATAGCCTTGCACGGGCGGCGAGCGCATGTCGCGCTTGGCGAGGATCGTAATGCCGTAGATGGTCACGAGGACGCCAATCGGAAAGCAAATGGCTTGCGCTAGCGAGTAGCTCTTGAACTCTTCAAAGTACACGGCGCCGCCCAGCACGGAAAACGTGATGAAGAAGCACTAGCACGTCCATGTGCATCCTCCTCTCGACTTCGATAGATTTGTACCGTAAAGACGGGCACGATGTAGAGCGCGTCAAAGTGCTTGAGCCCCATCGCGAGCACATGCGTCTATACGACTCATATTCTCGGAGGCCTTCCTTCCATGTACAAGACCGACCTGCGTCGTAATCGTCACGGCCAGCGCGGCGAGGATCCCAAACGAAAGCACGTGGCTGAACTGGTTGTCGCCCGCGACCGTTTGCTTGATGAGCTCGCCCGTCGACTTGGCAAACATGACGGACTGCGCGCCGACGACGCCTACGCAGGCTGCTTCAGTCGGATATAAATCGCCAACGTATGTACCCGACAAGGCGGCGTACGCGAGCGGGTGCCACTTGCGGTAGACCGCGTACGCCTCGGACGCGGCGCCGTGCGTGTGCAGCGCGGCCTCGGAGTTCGTCTTGAGGAGCGAGCTACACATGATCGCATGGGACGCTATGGTGCGAGGCAGACGACACGCGTGTACAAGAAGACAATCACAAGCACGATGAAGATGGCGTAGAAGAGCATGTCCCAGCGCTCGTAGAGCGCGATGAGCTCGTCGAGCGTAAACGACGTGCTCTCGTGCGCGCCAAAGACGCAGACGATAATGGCGCCGAGGCAGATGAAGATCGTGCCATACAAGTCGTTCCATGTCAACGCTTCCTTGAGCCAAAAGTGCGCAAAGAAGATGTTGGCCACGAGCGTAAAGCTGCCGACGGGCATGATGACGCTCTACGCCACAGGATGATGTGTCGGCGACGAGGAAGCCACGGACCTGCGCGGCGAACGAGAGCGCTGCAAAGTCGCCAATCGATCCAACTATGACGCAGCTGATGCCAACCCACCACTGCCACAGCGCCGTGTACGGGCGGCGGTCGGCCTCGGCGAGGTGCGCCTGGAGCGTGAACGAGTACTTTTGGATGTTGAGCCCCTGCAGAGGAGAAGGCGCGTGTCGACGACGATGGCAATGCGAGGACGTACAAAGTTGGAGAGCGTGGTGCCCACGAGGCAGACGCAGATGCCCGTCGCAAGGTCGTAGTTGGGCAGCCCCATCGTCAATCTCGCAGAGTGCCATCTGCCTTTTTGTTTGGATTTTATTGTATTATTATTTCGAGATACGAAGCGAATCTCGAGGACCAGGTTCAAGAACGTGTAATGGACGACAGCTATGGACGACGATGCGAGGATGATGGAAGGACGAATCGGGTGGAGTGCCATGGATTATGAGACAAATTACTCCATAAACTTTAGCGAGCCAACGACGAGGTTCTTGGACGGAAGCGGGCCGTGGCAGGGCACGAGCAGCGTGATCTTGCTCGTTTGGACGTTCACCGCTTTGCTACGAGACGACAACGTATGAGCCATCGCGATTCGAGAAATGTCGAGTCGTACATTTGGACAAAGCCAGCGGCACTCGCGGCGAGGAGCGACTGCGGGTCCATGCCAATGTCGTCGTCCTTGATGCTCGACTTGTGGATGACCGCCGCAATGCAGTGCGCCAAGTCGACAGTCTTTTCGACCGGAAGCACGCGCAGCCGCTGCAAGTCGTCGACTTGGCCCACGGGCAGCATAACGTCCGAGACGGTCAAGTCTATGGCCATCGTTGTCGGAAACCGTTTGGATATGGCAGTGTACCGTGCACGCGGTAGATGTTGATGTCTTCAAACGACAGCTCGACGACGTGGGGAGAGTACTCGTAGAGCGACTGCATCGGCGCCGCGTTTGGGATTTTCTTGCCGTAAAAGTAGGCATGGCAGCCGTCCATGCGAAGCTGGTGCCGAAGCTGGTTGGAGCTACGCACCGTATAAGCACCAGGAGGATGAAGCTGGCAACCAAGGTACCGTTGGACGACGCCATCCGAGCGCGGCAGTTTGATGACGGACGTGGACGGCGACACGGCCGAGCTCAATTCGCTGAACAACCGATCTTGACCCAGGACGATGACGAGGTCGATGCGGAACGCCTGGATGCAGTGCACGAGTGCTTGGTAGCCTTCATTATCAATCGAGCCCGACGTGTTGACGATGATGCCCGCGGCGTTGACTACAAACTCGTGTCAACCAAGGCCTATCGCAAGAGGAAATGCGTACCTTCAGCGTCGTTGGCGAGGCGCTGGTCCACGCGCTTGGCCAGCTCCGACGCTTGAAACTTGTACAATTCTGAAATGTCCTTGAGCGTCGTGTGGCCAAAATAGTATGCCAATGGCGCCGTCAAGACAAAGTCGTCTTCAACGCTCATGCAGTTGGTCTCGAGCGGCGTCGCGGCAATCGTCCCGGGAACACTCAGCAGACCATGCGCCACGTCCAAGTCGACAAACGTCGGCTTGCGGCCCATGCGCAGCGCATAGTTGAGGAGGATGCGCGTGACGGTCGACTTGCCCGAGTCGGTCGGGCCCGTAATGAGCACGCGCGGCCCGCAGCCCTTGACGTTCCAAGCGTCGCAGCGCATGCGATCGAGCTGCGTGTGGATGTTGATGATCGAGGCCATCGGCGTCTCGTCCGAGGTGTACGACACGGAGCACTTGCCCGTGACGAGGAGCTCGCAGCCATGCCACGTGAAGATGGCCAGTTGGCACTTGCGGAAGCGGTAGTCTTTCTCCTTGGCCAGCTCGGCGCCAAAGAGCTCGGCGGTCCCCGACTTGAGGCGGATGAGGACGTCGTCGGCGCCCTGGACCTCGAAGCGGAACTCGCAGTTGGGCTTGAGGTACACGCGCTCCGGCGCGGGCTCGTCTGCGCTGGTGTTCATGCTGACGAAAGCTGTGGAATGGATGGATCCGGATAATATCGGACCCTGTCCAATCCGTGGGCCTGTCATCCGGAAGATTGAAATAATCGGATTACGGCCAATCACGTGCCGTAAATATCCAAAGCGGGGTAGGGTAGTTTTCACATACTGAAATCAAGTTGATTTTGAAAGATCTCGCGCGCAAAATCGGTCCGCTTCATTTCGAGATTGGACGCGCGGTGCAACAGAGGGGACGACCGACCAATGCAATCGATCAACCACCTCGTGGGTCTCGCGGTCGGGAAGCGCACGCTCCTCCTCGAGCAGATGGCCAAGGCCAAGAAGAAGACGCTCCAAGGCGCCGAGGAATCGGCGCATGCGCTCGTCCAGCTGCTCCAGCAAGAGACGAAGAAGCGCAAGTACGCGACGATTATCAACCTCATCAAGTACACGTGCATGTGCTCGATACAGGTTACTCAGCACATGGGTAGGGTCATGAAGTTCTCGTTCGTCGACTCGGAAACGTGCATGCGGCGACTGCACGAGGCTGGCTTTGCAGCGGCTCTCGTCGACGTTTTGAAGTCCTTGAAAAACGGTACATTCCGCGAGTCCCGACCAAAAACATCAATATGCAGTCCATGTAGTGACCCAAGGACGGTGGCTTGAGGTCTTCTTGACGAACCTTGCCGACTTGGTCAGCTAGCTGCCAGTATTATGGCTTGAAGCGAACACTTGATGCTAGGCCGAGTGGGACCTCTTCCCGTCGCAACATCGAAAGGCGTTAGTGGAAGAAGTGCTGGCCGTCATCGAACGTCGGCTCTCAGACTGCGATCCCTTGGCCACGGAAGCGATGAGCGTCGTCACGGCAATCTTCTCCAGCAATGCACAAGGGACGTTGAGCGACATGCAAGCCAGCACGACGTGCATCCCGAAGATGCTCCACATCGTGTACAACATCCCGAAGATGAAGTCGTTTCACTTGCAAGCCCTGCTTCTCGAGTTTGTGTACCGCGTCTTGCGCTTGCTTCGAAAGGGAAATGGGAAGAAGGAGCAAGATCTCGTGACAAGCCTGCTGCAAAAGCTTCCTTCAACTCTCTCCAAGTGGATCTCAGAGGTTACTGCAAAGGTGCAAAGTATGAGTGTGAAGGCAAGTTCGTTCTGACCCTTTTTATGCTAGCAATTTCGACAAGGCACGCGCGACATCTTGAATCAGTTCAACCGCGAGGTTGGTGTCGTTTCGACATTTTCCCTGCGCAGCATTGTGTTTGAGGGCAGTGGAAAAACACGGGTATGAAGTCCCCTATATAAATATTTGGTTCTTACATGTGACAACAGATTACTGCGAGCGATGCGCCATGGATCGACATTGGCGGCTTGACATGCGAAGTTGAGCTGCAAGTTCCGGTCAAGGCCGAAGACGCCCAAGGGTTTCTCAAGCTCCACACAAACGACATTGATGGCTACAATGTGCACACTGAGTTCGGCATCTCCATCATTGTCAAGCCGGCACTGTCGCTCGCTGACGTGATCCCGAACGTGAACGATGAAGAGTGGGGTCTCGTAAAAGGGGTATCCGTCATTATCGAGGCCAACGCCGAGGTCACAGCCTGAAAATGACGTCTGGGGCTTATGTCAGCCGTAGGCGCTTGCTGACCTCGAGAAGGCTCTTTGTGAGCGATTTGGCCCCCCGAAATCGACTCGTCACGCCGTTCCTGGCCAGCAGAAGGCAGGACGGCAAGTTCCGGCGAAGAAGAGCCCATCAGCGTTTTACAATGCACTTGCTTCCGCCAAGGAGGACGAGATGAAGGCGCGAGACGCCGAGCCAAGCCGGAAGGAGGACGCGAACAAGTCCAAAACGATGAAGGCAACGAAGGTATACACTTGCGTTCGCCAACAATCTTGACTTACATCGTTTATCGCAGGATCTCGAAAGCACGCGAGAAATCAAGGCTGAGTACATTGCGTCCGGAGGCAGCAACGAGCCGCACACGAAGCGACCGCCGAGAGCTCCGACGAAGGGGCAAGGAAAGCGCTCTATTGACCAAGTCGAACCCACCACGGACCATCGCACCGGATCGGCTGCAATGCGCCACCCCGATCGTCGAGGGTCTTCTTCAAAGAAGCCTACAAGTGCTTCGGTCGTCAAGGTCGAGGCTGCAACTCGAGTCGCAGCACGGAAAGTGGCGGCAAGCCCGCCTCACAAGCGCATGAAGGTCGAGCCCGGGACCCAGCAGCAAGCACACGTGCAAACGAAAGTGGCGTCTGCAAGCGACAAGATTGAGATCACGAAGCCCACACCTTCAACTCGCCGCAACGTACAGATCAAGGAGGAGGTATTGTCAGCGTACGTTGACAAAGCCCACCCAATCGATCGTCTACACGACGTGGACGGCAGAGCGCGACCGAGCGAGCCCCGAGACGTTTGCACCACCACAAAGAATCCCGTTCCGACTACGACCCGAAAGGCGATGAGCAGGCACAGCAATACTCGCTGCTCCACGTCGAGCAACATCCGACCCAAGAAAAAAGGGGTCGTTCGGACGGCCACGACAAACGCCAAGGATACGGCAGAGCCTCTGGCGAGCAGGGAGCCACCATGGGGCCTCTATCGACGGTAATACTCTTGCGATCATATTTGAAAACCCGTACGCCGCATCATGCACATTGTAGACATCTGCCAAGAACACTTGCTCGCTCGCCTCGGAAACGACTGGCAAAAGCAGCCTCACCTCGTTGCTTGAGAGCATGCAGCAATTTTCCAACGACTTTGTCGCGAGCAATAAAGACAACACAAGAGAAGAAGAGCCACAAGATCCCGAAGAGCGCGGCATCGCCTGGGTGCCACCCGAGTCTCCAACGAGCTCGCAAACGTCAGACACGAGCAGCTCAATGTCGCTCGATCTCGAGCCCGATTCCTTCCACTACACAAGCAAGGAGACCATGCACGTCATTGCAGGTATTGTTGATACCCTTCGACAGACTTGTTCATAACGTGCCGGTTTAGCATCCCCCAAACGGAGCGCCCCATCGACGCGGAAGCCTATTTGTGGGAAGCAAGAATTGCCCGGAAGTGCCAAGACCACGGAGCTGCCTCGCTCGAAGCTCAACCCTCAAGAGACGCAGCGTCATTTGCTCTCACAGCTCAAGCTTCTCGGAGATGCAGTACTCGACGAGCAAGACGCGTTCCGTGAGAGCAAGATCGAGGCCTTGTGTTGCCACGGCTTCGCGACGCTGAAAACGCAGGCGTCCAAGCACGTTCAACATTTGCAGTCTCGCATGGGCACGGACGTGATCGAAACGAACCTTAATGCGGCCCTCAAGCTGCATCGCGACACGATGGACCAGCTTACCGGCCTTCAAGGTGCTGTGAGCAGCCACTTGGACACGTCCGACACAGCAGAAGACGAGCTGCTGCAAGGATGCTTTGACCTCAAGCACACGGTCCTTGAGACGCTTCGTACCAAGTGGCAAGACCAATTGCGCCCCGCACAAAAGAAGTCGGACACGTGCCGCAGTATGCGGGCTCGGCAACTGCACAACAAGCTGCAAGAAATCAGCACCAAGTTCAACACGAGCGATCTGCACGCAATGCAAGCCATGCTCGGCCGCATCTAGTCCCTCGCATTAATATACGTCACTACAACTCATTTGTGACGGCTCATGACATGGGCTGGACGATTGCCATGGATTTTGAGGTGGCGACAAGGTTCGAATCGAAGGAAAGCCAATGTTCGATGCTATCCATACAAACCTTCACACATGCAAATCCAAATGCGCGCAGATCTCATTATACTGATGTTTCTAGCGATAGGATCGAAGAGTTGCATTCGTCAACTTGCTTGCAACATCCAACAACGATGGCCGACGCGACGAGCAAAGTCAAAGCCAGCGGCGCGATCAACGAGCCTTCGCCACCCGAGTATTCGCGTTCGTGCAAGGATATCATTTTCGCCATCCTCTTCCTCATCGTCGTCGGCGTCACTATCTACTTTGCTGCAAGCTTTGGCGCGACGTATATTTCCGAGACGCAGATCCAAGATGTCAAGAAGACGACAGGCTTCATGGTCATCTTGAACTACGGCGGTATCTCGGGAGCGATCGCGATTGGCATCTCGCTGCTCTGGATCCTCACCATGATGTTTGTGGGGGAGTGCATCATTTGGGCCTCGATTGCCTTTATGATTCTCGCGAACGTCTTTGCCGCTGTCTACATGACGCAGCGCCTCCACGAACGCGGCGACGCCCATTACTGGTGGCCTGCCGCCGTCTTTGGCACCATCGCACTTTTGATCTTGCTCTACGCTGTGTGCATTCGGGTACGTGACGAATTGCATGACGAGTGACATCTTAGCTGATGTCGTGGTTGTAGCACCGGGTCAAGTTTGCGGCCGTGCACTTGCACGTTGCGGGCAAAGCCATCTTTCGACTTCCATTCACGCTCGTCGTCGCGCTCGTCATGGTGGGCGTCCAATTGGCGTGGGCCATCACGTGCATCGTTGGCACATTTGGGCTGCTGCACCACCAAGGCGCCATCGCATTGAGTGACGGGTGCGCCCACAATGCTACGTTTGCCACGTGCCGCGTCAAGGTCCAGTACGGCCAAGCGCTGGGCTTGCTGATCCCGATCCTCCTTGTCTTCTTCTGGGGCGCCATGGTTATCAAGAACATTTTGGCGGTCACTGTCTCGGGTACCGTCGCGAACTGGAAGGTCAACGCGGCCGCGCCGATGATCACGGTCGTCGCATGGGGCCGCGCGCTCACCGTGAACCTCGGTAGTATTTGCTTTGGGTCGCTCATCGTTGCCATATTGGAGACGATCCAAACTGTTCTGGCTGGCATCTCGTACGCAGCGCAACAATCCGGCAACTGTGTCGCCGCGTGCATCGTGGGCTGTCTCGCGTGCCTCATTGGCGTCATCAAGTCGTGGATGGAGACCTTCAACCGGTTTGCGTACGCCTACGTAGGGATCCATGGCTACAGCTTCCTCAAGGCCGGCCATAAAGTACAAACCCGGCCACTTATCGAAGCATCTCACACGGTATGGTCGTAGGTTTCCAAGATGTTTGCGTCGAAAGGCTGGTCTGCGATTGCCAATGACGACTTGACGCAAAAAGTTTTCTTCCTCGGCAACCTCGTCGTCGGCACGCTCGCTTGCTTCCTCACGATCCAAGTCGCTTCGGCCCATTTGAAGGAGGACCCACAGCTCTTTGCGGGTCTCAAGAAGCCGGAAGCCATGATCGGCGTCCTTGGGTTCCTCATCGGCTACGTCATCAACAACCTCTTTATGTCGCTCATGGCAAGCGCCGTCTCGACGATCTTTGTGCTCTGGGCCGAAGACCCCGCGGGGTGGCAGGCGACGCAGCCCGACCACTACGCCAAGCTCCATGCGGCGTGGCTCAACATTTACCCCGACGAGTACAACAACGGCGTGGGCAAGCCCGAGACAAGCCAAGTCTAGTCTGCATGTCAATTCATTTTCTTCTCCCTTCTCTCCACATTTTCTAATAGAATTCAGTGTTTGGCGGTACTAGGACTCCACGTGCGACACAAGAGACGTGACCACCCAAAACTGCCGTTGCACTCTGGTTGCTCTCTCACAACACAGTTTCGCGCCATCTGCCTTGAATATTCCAACCATCCTTGGTCCATCGGTCCGCCACAGATACTGAATGGGCCACGGATGGATCCTTGCCCTTGCTGCTACTAACAGAGTCGCAACTGCGCCGACGTCGTCGCCTGACAAGTAAAGTTTAGCTGCTGTCGTCTCGTGGGACGATGAGCTGCGATCGTGCCAACTTGAACTTTCTACGGTGGTTACTTGGTCATGCAGTCGTCTGATTGGCTGATTATGGCCCATTTTCTACCAATGATGTGCGATTCATTGGGGCGAAAATTTTGACGCGCAAGCGCAGAACCCAAGATGTCGGCCTGCGTCGGAAGTACGGGGCGTGGCCTCCTCCGCGACCTCTGGAGCTTCGAGGACGAGGACGATAGCGCCAGCAGCAAACGGCCGAGCGAGGCCTCGAGCCTCCGGTCGCCGAACCCGCTCCTTCTTATCCAGACCCACGACAGCGACAGTGACGACGATACCAAGGCGTACGGCGCTGTCGACGTGGGCCTCCGCGCGCTCGACCTCGTCGTGTCGCCAAGCGCGAGCACCGTGCTCAAGGAAGGGTGGCTCGTCAAGCGCGGTCACAACTGGCACACGTGGAAGACGCGATGGTTCGTGCTCTACCGCGACGCGCGTCTCGTCTACTACCGCAATCCCAAGCTCAAGAAGGTCAAGGGTTGCTTGCGTCTCGACGACGGGATCGTCAAGGTGCAGTTTGCTGACACGTACCAGACGAAGCGCAAGTACAGCTTCCAAGTCGTCAAGGGCTACTATGTGCTCTTCTGCAGTTGCACGACCAAGGTCGAGGCCGACGAGTGGGTCCACGCACTCCGCCGCGTGCGGACGCAGAGTCCGTCCGACACGGAAGGGCCCGTGAGCTTGACGTCGCTCGTGGCAAACGAGACGTCGATCGCTGCGAAGCTCGCGAGCAAGCCGCATGCAAGCACCATCGACCGCCAAATCGAGCTCTTCCGGCTTCGCGCCACGACCACGGTCGCGGGCAACAACCCCATGACGCCGACGTCGTTGTTGCGCTTCATCTCGGAGCTGGAGAATCAGATCATGCAGTCTATCTTCTTTAGCAACGACGACGATACGCGGCTTGCGGTGCGCTACTACATTGAAGACAAGGTCTTCCTGCCGCTCATCGAGCTCTTCTACAGCGGCGTCAATCGACACGCCCATGCGCCATCGCCAACACACCTCCAGAAGCTCCGGAACTTACCACCGCACCACTTGAACCCGTCTGATGCGACGGACGACTGGTCGTTTGCGATCAATAGCCTCAGCACGATCGACACGGTGTCGCTACCGTCCCATAAGCTCTGGGTGCTCTTGGAAACGATTGCGTGGATCGACGAAACGCTGCGGGCGACACCCGCCGCAACGCCCGAGTCACGGCGATGCGTCCTCTCGTACGTCCTTGTGCACGCGGCGATCGAGGACCTTGCGGTGCTGGCGCAGCTACTGCAGTGGACCCAGCTGTACCTGCCGCGCTGCGGTCACATCAACGACAACGAGTACTTTGCACACTTTGTAGACGCGCTCGCGTGGCTTCAGCGCTACGATGGGTCGGTCGGCGCGACGTCGATCCCGGCGCTTACGCTGCCGTTCTCGACCCCCGAGATTGGCATCCAACTCAGCGCTGTCGTAAGCGACCGCGGCGCGCGCGTCGCGAGCATCAAGAAGCACTCGCAAGCGAGCTTGTGTCCCGCACTCACGTCCGACCTCGTCCTTCTCGGCATCAACGAGACGCTCGTGCTCTCCTGGACCTTGTTGGATATTGTCGACTTTCTCCGCGCCGCGCCGCTCCCCAAGCGCTTGGTGTTCGTCTCGGACGCCGACTATGAGAAGCTTCTTGCGACCCCCGACTTTGACGCGTTTCTCTTTTGCCTCTGCGCGTCCCGCGGCGATGTCCTTGGTCTCCAAGCACTCGTGGATGAGCACGGCGACGCGCCACTGCACCGTGTGTGCAAGTGGGATCGAGGGCTTTTGCTCGCGAGCCTGCCGTGGCTCCCGGCGTCGCACGACACGCCGCTGCACGCGGCTGTTAGCGCCGGCCAAGCTCACATGGTGGTCGAGCTTCTCGACGAACATCGTGTCAACCCCACGGTTTGCAACGCGGCGGGGCAAACGCCGCTCCACGTCCTCCAGTCGCACATTCCCGAAATCGCACCGACGCTGTTTGGGCACGGCGGGCAGCGCATCCTCGACTGCCGAGACCCGCGCGGGTACACCCCGCTCATGCTGCAGTGCAGTCGCGGCAACGTCGAAGGTGTCGTAACCCTCCTCGGGCTCGGCGCCGATCTCAACGCGGTCGCGTGGTCCAACGGCACGACTGCGTTCTGCGAGGCGGTGGCGGCTGGTGACCTGAGCCTCGTCGACGTGTGTCTCTTGCGCGGCGCCAACGTGCGCCACGCGAATCTGCAGCGGGAGACACCGCTGCATATCGCGGCGCGTGCCGGCCAACCTAAGCTCATCCAGCGTCTCCTTGTCGGCGGTGCGCTGATCTCGACGCAGAACCGTCTCGGGATGACGCCTGCTGCGGTGTTACTGCAAGCGCCCCCGGCCTCGTCGCACGTGCTTTTGGACTGCCTCGCGCTGCTTGCGACGCCGTCCGTGCTCGAAATCCCCGACTTGTGGGGCCGGCGCCTCGTCCATTATGCAAGCCAGCTCGAGGTCGGTCTCAAGGACGTCATGGAACTCCTGCTTGGACGCGGCGCCAACGGCCACGTTGTCGACCTCTTTGGGGACGCACCGCGCGAGTATCGACGCCACCCGAAAGACCACGGCGTGCAGTACGCTCCGCCAACCGCGTACATGCGGCACCTTAGCGTGACGCTCACCACCACGGCCGACGGGAAGCTCCAGCTCCAAAGCGGCCGGCTCGAGGATCTGCTCACGTACTTGGTTGCGGACAAGTCGATGCGCCTCCACGATATGTTTGCGTTCGTCCTCAACAGCACGACGTACATGGACATGGCGTCGCTGCTCGTGCTTCTCAAAGCCAAGACCGTCCAGAGCCAAAAGGGCCTCAAGAAGGCGTGGAGTGTTGCCAACTTCCAGCGCGACCGTACGTCATTTTTCATGGGGATGTTATATCGCATGCGGCTCATTTATTGAGTAGCAAATTGCGGCGCGCTCTTCTTCCTTGCGCTCGCAGCGTACTTGCATCCCGGGCTTGCGTTGACGCCCGAGTTTACCGACTGCCTTGGCGTCATCGGAACTTCAACCCAGCTTGCTGTCTACGTGAGCGGCCTCGAGCGCTACTACCGCGCGGCCGCACCGTCCTCGCTGTACGCCGATCTGTATGCCCACATGCTGGGCATGTACGGCGCCAAGCCGAGCTACGATGGCGCCCGCGCCCGCCTCGGTCGCCTCAACCCGTACCTCTTGAGGAAGAGAGAGACGAGAGATGCTCATGGACGACCGATGTAGGATGGCGACGAGTGCGCTCGACTTGGCGCGGCAGTGCACGCTCGTGTCACACGCGGTCTTTGCACAGATCCCGATCCGGCAGCTACTGCAGCCCAAGTGCAATCACACTGGTTTCTTGGCGGCTCGGCACTGGTTCCAGCACGTACTATCTCTTTCCGAGAAAAAAACCAAGGACGATCGATGATTGTGTCTAGCTCTCGGCGCTCGTGATCAACTATGTGCTGCTGGAAGAGTCGCCCCAAGCCCGCGCTGACGTCATCGCCTTCTTTGTCGAGGTAGCCAGATGCTCGATTGGCATGTAAGACTATTGCACTAGGTGGCCGTGCATTGCTTTGAGACGTTTCAGAACTTTGATTCGTTCATTGCGATCTTGTACGCTCTGCAGTCGACCGCCGTCTTCCGCCTCAAGCGGACCATGAGCTACGTACGAGAGAGTCGACTGTGCTCTCATCGACTAAGATTGGATTCGATTAGTTGAGCCCCGCGACCGCCGAGACGCTCGCCAAGTACCAAGTGTACACCCAGAACGGGTCACGGTACGGTGTCGTACGACGCTTGTTTCTGAAGCGTGCGCGGTAGAGACATGAACCGCGTCATGAAGACGGTCAAGCCGCCATGCATGCCCTACATTGGCCTCTACCTCCAGGTACTCGACTGCACGCAGCATGCGGTTACTAAGAGATGGTAGAACGTCGTCGGGCTCCACGAGCTACCCAAGTACGAAGAAGAGATGATTGTCAACTTCAACCGGCTACGCCTGCTCGGGTCGCTGGCCCAAGACCTTTTGAGCTACCAGTCGACGCCGTATCCCATGACCTCGAGCTACAAGATGGAGGTACTTGGAGGCGTCGTACAAGAGAGGACGACGATGTATATGGCAGGCGCTTCTCCATGTCGACCTCGCCTTCCCGACCGACGAAGCGCGCTATGAGCGGTCCCATGCGATCGAGTCCCGCGCGTCCATTGACGCGCTCGAGGCAGAGACGTCGCCGCCCGAGACGCCCCGCCGGAGCTCCATCAGCCGCGACTCGGTCGACTCGGCCGCGAGCCTCTTCCCACGCCTGCGCTTTAGCTCGTTCTCGTCCAAGCGCGACCGGACGAGTAGCGTGGCCGGTCTTGTGTGGGTTTAGTTAGTTGATGGAAACCGACTTAGTCGATGGAACGTCCGTTTGCGATAGTGTTTGACAGGTTCTTTTTTGGTGCGTATGCCAATATTAACATACGTATCCAGTTTCTTTAGCTATACATTTTTAGAAGGTATTCGAAAATGAAATTATGTGTTATAGTGTCTAGAAAGGTAGGATCCACACTGAATGCGAGATGTTATAACACAGGAGATCGAATGTCAGAGTTATTGCGAAATTATAAAGTATCTACCAACCAAAAGCTGGGTCCCATTCCTGGTTCTCCACCTGCCGCGGCCATGGCGGAGTCGCAGCGCAAGATGACCGAGGTCGCCGAGTTCGCGCAGCTGGCCTTCCTCTCCGCGGTCGACAATGGGGAGGTCGACGGCCAAGACATCCGGAAGGGCCTGGACATCCTCTTGACGTGCATGGTCGACGCCGGCGGGAAGCTCAAGAAGGTGCAGGCGCCGACGCCGCAGGTCATTCCGCTCAGCGCACTGCGCAAGGGAAGCCTTGTGCGCCCCAAGGCCATCAAGCAGGTCCCGACCATGAACCCGATCCTCGCGCGCCTCGCCGCGAAGAAGCAGCGCAAGGTCTGCGGGTACATTTTCAAAGCCGATGAGATGGCGTACAGCTGCCGCGACTGCCAGCACGACTCGACGTGCGTCATGTGCCAAGCGTGCTTTGCCGACAGCAACCACGACGGCCACGACGTCTCGTTCCAGCGCACGTCGGCCGGCGGATGCTGCGACTGCGGCGACACGGAGGCGTGGGCGAAAGACGGCTTTTGCCACAAGCACCCGGGCCGCGACGCGTCCATATCGAAACCCCTCGTGCTCCCAAAGGGCATGCAAGAGGTGGCTGCGCCGCTCATCAACACGGTCGTCCAGTACGTCCATGATGTCTTGGTCATGGCCGAAGACTCGGTCGAGATTACGACCGTCATGCGCGAGCTCTGCGCGATGGTGCCTCCTCCGGATCGTATTTCGTGGAAGGACTCGGACGACGCGCGCGAAGCCGCTAACACAAAGACGCGCGCGGAGCGGGAAGCGGCGCCGCCCGCGACCGAGTACGACGTGCGGCTCCACAGCGACGACGTCCATCCGTTCCAGGACGTGGTCAAAGCCATTCGCACGCACTTTAACGTGTCCAAGTCCAAGGCGATTGGCATTGCGAATCACTCGGACGCGGAAGGCTGCTCGATCGTGTCGACGACCAACTCGCTCCGGTACGCGACGCACCTCGTGCACGCGATGGACGGCTACACGCTCAGCGTCGCGCCGGTCCGGCACTCGAACCACATGCGGCACCTCGACGACATTCTCGACTGGCTGCGACAACTCTGCGAGGTCTCGGACGGGCTCGCGCAGCTCGTGAGCCACGCGATCGCGTCACCACGCGGCGCCGTGGCACCCGACACGCTATTTTCGACGCTCTCGCTCGATGCGACACTCGAGAGCTTTCTCAAGACGCACCCGATCAACGCCGATGCGGTCTCGTTCTTGACGACCATGTTTCCGACGCAGACGCCGCTCTCGACGTGGATCCCGCCGTTTGACGAGCAGTCGCTCGTCGCCACGTACCTCGCCGAAATGGCACCGCACACAGCCAGCGTGCCGCCGCCGCGGGCGCCGACGTCGACGCTGACGTCGCTCGTGCGCAACTATGCGCTCCTCAACAAGCCCGCGTCCCAGAAGCTCAACCGACTTTTCCACGAGCTCATTCTGAACCAGCACCTCAAGCCGACGATGATGGACGCGTTCGTCTCGTCGTATTTGCACAACACGAGCTCGTACCTCCAAGGCCTCGGCGCGTCGAGCGACAGCATTTTTGACTTTGCGACGCAACTGTTGACCGTGCCGTCGCTCCTCGTGCCCTACATGGGCGGCGCCAACTCGATCGTCGCCATCTTGCTCTCTGCGCTCGCTTCCGTGCTCGAAACCTCGACCAAGCGCGTGACGCTCGGAAGCGGTGTGGTCGGCACGCTCTTTCAGCCGGAAAACCCCGCGATCTCGCACTCAAAATACAAGGTACCGCCGTGTGTTTTTGAAACATGGATCACATGCCCTGTAGCACGCGGCCGACAACCTTGAATTTGCGCTCGGCAATGGGACCGCCGCCGATCTCATTTGCCACACGGGGCACTTTGAGCAGTGGCTGCACTGCCTCGGACTTCTCCAGGTACAACTATCATCCACATACGTGTCCAAACTGGATCGCTTTCTGTGCGTAGAACGCGGACGCACAGATCCGTCGGGGCCGCCACGAACCCCATGTCGAGTACGAGTCGGACAGCTGGTTTTCGACGTTCAACCTCGGCATCAAGATGCACGCGCTCTTCCCGCTAATTCTACAGGGCCTTACCTCGACGGCCGTCGCGTCGGTGGGCACGTCGCTTTCGGAGCTCATGGCGGCCTCGGTGGCCGAGATCAAGCGCGTCACGCTCGAGCAGTCGGTCGTGCACGCCAAGGTGCTGCCCGGCGGCACGCCCGGCACGGACTACTGTCTGCGCCTCGAAGACGCCAACGGCGTGTGGCGCGACGCAGCGTCGCTGCACATTCCCCTCCATCGGTTTGTGGCAGCGTTTCTCAAGCACGTGCTGTACGTGCAAAAGAATGACCGCTTTGACGTGTCCAACTGGACCACCCTCCTCGGCCTCGACGCGCTCTCGCCCGACGACGTGCTCTTGCTGCTGGACGCGCCACTCAAGTGCCTCGTCATGTCGAGCCAGATCCAGAGCAACCTCTGGCGCCGGAATGGGGACGAAAACATGATTACGCAGCTCTTCAACTACTCTGCGCTGCCGTACTGCGTCAACTACCGCGATTCGGACCTTTTCATGCTGCAAGTGGGCATTGCGCTCCTCGGGCCCGAGCCGATGCTGCAGCTGCTGCTGGACCGCTTCCATTTGGCGTCGTTTTTCCACTTGGCCGACACGACGGGACTCGAACCCGCGCTCGCGTACGACGACGACCAGAACATGCACATGGTCGAAGAGCTCCTCCGGCTTTTGATTGTGCTCGCGACCAACGTGCCGTCGTCGACGGGCGCCGCGTTTGAAGAAGCGTTCTTGTCGAACGAGCTGCTCCACCACCTCATGGTCAAGTTTTCGTCGTTTTCCGAGCTGAGCGAGAACATGGCGCTGCCGCTCGGCGGGCAAGAGACGATCTCGGCCGCGCGCCTCGAGCCCGTCTTGACCAAGCTCTCGACGTTTGTGCCGCCCAACGGCATGGAGCCTGGCAAGTACGAGCTCTTGCCTCAGTACATGGCGCAGTGCAATCCGTACCACGTGCATTTGAACCGCGAGCTGCACGAGCAGGCGCGGGACCGGTGCGCGTCGTGGCGCACGTCGCAGCCGCCCAACGCGCCGCCGCTGGTGCTGCCACCGCCGCCCTTGCCCGTGTTTGCGTCCGTGCCGACGATCCTCACGACGCCGAGCACGATGAAGCTCTTGCAGCAGCTCCTCGAGACGATGGACGCCACCAACGTCTCGGAGACGGTCGTTTCCATGACGCTCGACGTGCTCGTGTTTGGCGTGCAGATGGCGATGCGCGCGGACGACGACGGCTTTTGGCGCTTGCTGCAGCCGCTGTTGCCGACCTTTCTCAAGTGCCAGCAAAACCCCGACGCGCTCGACAAGGAGCAGCACGAAGTCCTCGATTGGATTTTGACTGCGATCAAAACGCACAGTTCGCTCTGCGCGGCCGCGCTGCAGCAAGCAACGCCGTGCGAAGCGACGAAAGCGGGTGCCAACGAACTCTCGCTGCAGGAGCGAAAGGAGCAGGCCAAGCAGCGCGCGATGGCGGCGATGGCGCGGCAACAAGCCACGTTTTCGCAAATGATGGGCAGACGGTGCCGACGATGCCGACGACGAGATGGACGACGACGCGGCGGACGAGCAGGCGACGATGGCGGACGCCGACATGCAGAGTAAGAAGCGCGTGCGTCCAGATGCGTCGCCCGAGTCGCAGCACGAGAAGAAGGCCAAGGTCGAAAAACTGCTGCATTTTGTGCCACGAGAGCTCCAAGCCCGACGAGATGGGCATGGTGGGTTTTGTGCACCAGTCGACGGTGCTCTCGAATACGTTCCGGCCGCACCCGGACGATGCGCTGACACCGTCGGCGAAAGCGACGCGCAAGGACATTGGGTCGCTCATCGAGCACATGAAGCTCGTGAGCTACCCGGAGGATGGCCCGGCTCTCTTTGCCGTGCGCGACCACCCGGCCCCTGGGCGGCGCATGGCGTTTGCCGACCTCTTTTGGGACATGGAGGACGACGACGAGGGCGAAGACGACGAGGGCGACGACGATGGCGAAGAGGGCGTGCGCGAGTCGGACGACATGGACGGAGGTCGTCGCCCGCGCGCGGGCACCTCGGACATGGAAAGCGGCGGCGAAGGGCCACCGATGGTGCTGCCCTTGGATGTTGACGACGCGGCGTCACCGGCACTCGGCCCGATGCACGTCGACGGCGACGCGCCCGTGGCGAACGCGCTGGGCGGCGTCATCCAGCAAGCGCTGCGACGTATCCCGGTGCCGCGCCGGCGCCAGTATCGATTCCATACGCGAAGCTCGACGAGTACGACGAGTGGCCTCGCGTTTGTTCCGTGCGGGCTCTTTGCGCGGACGTGCCAGCACACGGTGCACATGCGCTGCCTCGACACGTACATTCGCACGCTGCACGAGAAGGCGCTGCGCGGCGAAGAGTTTGACGGGATGCAGGCCGTGGACGGGGACGCCAACATGACGCAGTTTCTCTGCCCGCTCTGCAAGACGCTGTGCAATATCTTGCTGCCGGTGGTCGCGGCCGAGGCGCCGCCGCCGGCGCGGTCGCTCGCACCGTGGTACCGGATTGTCGAGAACACGTCGCGGCAGTGGCACCGGTGGTTTCGACCCACGTCGCACCCGATGACCGAGTCGGACGAAGTGTTTGACGTGTGGAAAGGGTACTTTGAAGAGGTGCTCTGGGAGCCCCACGGCAGCTTTGAGAAGGGCGCGCCGTTCTTGTGGTCGGCCTGCGCCTACACGATCGCGGCCACGCTCCTCGACGTCGAGGCCGACGACGCGCCGTTTGACATTATGGGCGACGCGTGGCCCGTGGCGCTCGAGAAAGAGCTCTCGTCGCTCTCGGCTGTCGCCAAGTTTGCGCGCTGGTCGTTTTCGATGGTGCAGTTTACAGCCGACTCGAAAGTCATTTACGAGACGGTCAAGCGCTGCTGCCCCGTCGAGCGCGAATCCAAGCGCGAGTACAACAAGTTTACCAAGGTACGCATCGTAGTATTCTCTCGCATCTCATGCGACGACGCCTTAGATGATTGGCAGCATTGACGCGTGCATTCGCGGAACCATCCTCGGCCTCTTGGTGGCCGACACGTTTACGGTACGCTTCGCCTCGACCGACGGTCCTCTCATGTTTGGATGGTAGGCGTTTGTGGTCGCCAGCGTCGTGGCGGCAAACACGGCTACGATCGCCGAGATGGTTCCTGTCTTTGGCGTTGCCGACTACCTGCAGCGCTTTCTGGACGCGTTCTTCGTCCAAGAAAAGCTCAAGGCCGTGAGCCTGTACCACGACGTGTCGACGTTGCACGAAAGCAACGCGGTAGCAGCGACGAGCTCGCGCGTGCACAACACGCGGCACCAGTCGGCCGCGTCGATCAAGACGGTCGAAGCCGCGACACACAAAAAGACGCTGGCCAAGCTCGCCAAGTGGGAGGCCAAAGCACTGGAAGACGACGACGTCAAGGGCGCGCTGTGTCTGATTCGGCGCATGTGCGAGCTCGAACCGCTGCTTCGGCTCTCGGCGCTCGGCGACTTCAAGTCGTTTACGTCCACCTTGGCCACGATTCGCACGTCCAACCGGTTGCTGGAGCGCCGCATGCAACTCTACTACTGCTGCCTCGTCGGCAAGGACGAGTCGGTGGTCGCGCCGTCGCTGCGCGAGGTGGCCGAGAGCCCGAAAGAGGCGCTCGCGACCGTCTGGCAGTGGTGCGTGACGCGCAAGGCCAGCCAAGCTGAGCTCGGGGCGGCCTCCCAGGACGCGCAGCGCCGCTGCGAGCACGCCGACCACATGAGCGAGGCGTATGTGGCCAACATGTTTATCATCCGCGACCAGGCGACGCCGCTGCAGCTGATTGCGCTGCCCACGCAGTACGACGAGCTGTACAGCCACCATGTGCACCAAGTGTGCGCGCGCTGCAACCGCGTGCCGCGGGAACCGGGCCTGTGTCTTGTCTGCGGCGTGCTCCTCTGCTGCGGCGAGTCGTGCTGCTCGTACGTGCATCAGCGCCACGGCCCCAGCATTG